CCCTTCTGCTTCCACCACGTCTAATTCTATGGGACTTTAGACCCCCAGAACTTTCAGAAACAAATGAATTCTACTCCAGGAACAAGACTCCATACAGAGTATGTTTTGTACAGTCGTACAGAAAGGAAGGACTTTTTATATGCCACAGACCAGTGTCCCATAGGAAACTTACTGCATAGTCCATTCATCTTTGCTTGTCAGAAAAAGCAGCACACAGTGGACTGACAGACACCCACTGCATACCTTTGTTCTCAACGAAGATTTATCACTCATACTAAAAACTCTCCCATCCTTAAGCCAGTAGAAAGGAGAGGGAAAGTAGACACAATTAAAAAGAAATGCTGTAAAATAGAAACAAGTCAAAATTACGTCTCCAATCAAATATTTCCTCTGGGCACTAGGCAGCTATTAGGTGGTTTGGTGCAAGCTTAAGACGCTTCACAAAAGCCCCTTATCTCCAGCAGTGCAAATGAGGTTAATGGACTCATTTTCACTCTGTGATTCACTTTCTCTGTTCTGCTTTTTTGTTTTATGCAGATAATTGGAAACAACAAAGAAACATCATTCTCTAGAGCTTAGAAGGGAAAGGAAGTTCACTTCTTTCCAAAAACACAAATTCAAGACAAGAAAGAGAAGGAAAATAAAACCAGTGGGGAGGGAAGAATAGTTATACAGAAGGGTAATAGGCAATTAGCACTCACCCTCCCACATACATCAGCAAACGTTCACACAATCTACAGAAATGCCTGATCTTAAGCACACCTTCCCCTAACTCTTAGGCTTGAATAAAATGTCACTGCTGTCTGTCCCTTGGGAGGGTCTTAGTAGTGCTGGGAGACTGCACAGGAGCGGCACAAAGCGGGGGGGAGGAAGAGACTATGAACATGATTTATTGTCTGACAGAAATAAAGAATCCTCTTATGATTTATAATTTACTTATGGTTTTTCAAAACTACAAAAGTTAGTTCTATGAGCAGAAGTAACAAGAGATTCTGATTTCCACATCTCCTTTATTCAAATATTGCTGTACATATTGTACAAATCTGGGTTTGGTGTCAATGACGAGCATTTCTATTCAAATGAATGAATAAACTAAGGAATAACCAGAAGACATTTGGGAACTAGTTTTGAGGGAAGCTGAGAGAGTGTCAGTCAGGTCTGGCTTCTCTAAAAGGCCAACTTTCTCAAAATGGTAGCTGGAGGCTGCTACTAGACAGGGAGGTTGACTATCCAGGCCCAGTAGACCACTTGGTGTCCAAACAAGCTATTCTTTTGTTAGCGCCTTCAGTGTCTCCACAGTGTTCAAATGGCCCTTGCCGTACCTGTTTCCATGCAGAGAGGGAGGGGGCATTCCAACTCACAGGCTTGTTCCTGCCTGTGCCAAAATTTCTGATGCCAGGAGTAAACCCACAATCACCCTATGTCTCTGCATTCCCCCTATTATGTATGTAGTTATAGTGGACTGAGTCATAATAAAGTTCTAATCAAAATACTGTGAGTAAAATTAAGGTCTTTTTCAGACATTGCTGCGACTATCTGTGTAAAAGTCAGCTTAATATTTCCGATTTGTCTGGAATGTTTTATCATTACATTTGGCATAGTAATGTTCTCCTTGCCCACTCCATCTTTAATCTATTCCCAATTTTGACAGATTGACTATTTTATTATAAAACTAATATTATGGGATATTGCCAGTGCAAAGTTATGACAACAATATATGAAAATGATCATTTTTCTGAAAAATAGACACTGTCTCACAAATTCACATTCAAATATGTGGTACTTCTCTTACAGTAAAAGCTGTAGTTATTTTCACAGAGAAGGTCTAATCTAGTGTCTGCCTAGTTTTGAGGCAGTACCCATTTTCTTGTAATTACTTTTCTCTTTAAATTCTTCAATATATTTTTGAGAAAATATTGTACTGCAGTGCTGAAATGCAACCTTTAAATCTTTTCTTCAGGAAAGACACCACCATTGCCTATAGTATATATTTGCTATATTGACACCAGGAGACCAAAATATAAAGAGACACGCTTATTTTTAAATCAGGGAAAGGAAAAGTTTGGAGAACAAAACATTTGCATACATGTGGTATCTCTTTCAAAGATGAAATAGGAAAATTTAAATCAGAAGAGTGTTCAGAGTCTTCCGGAAATACTGTAGAAGCTCTCCAAACACAAATTCAACAGACTGAGCTTTCTCAGTATTTTTTAAGATTAAGTAACACAGCAGTGGGATGGGATGAATATCATAACATTACTGTCTTTAAAACTGATAATTTAAGATCTCCAGCAAAGAAATCTACTGGATTACTTTTCACATTTAAAATTTATCATCACCAGAGAACTGATAATTCTTTCTGCTAGCCATGTAGCAGTTTGGAAAAAAACATACTATCCTCTGAATTCAAGAGGCAGTTGTCCCTTTCCTAACCAATTATGCATATTTGCAGAAAAAAAGTATTTGACAGTTATCTGAACTTACTCCTAATGAAACTCATGAAAACATCTTTGATGACAGTTACCAAGTGGTGCAAACGTTTGAAGTTCCCTACTATTCTCACCTCTACATCCTCTTCTTGCAAATACTATTTATTAGCAGCCATAACTTGGAATGCTTATAAAGAAAAATAAGGAGGAACACATACATATAGAGGGAATAGAACACAAATACCTTTCCCTCAGAAGAGGTAGATCATGATAAAGATTAGGTTTCTAATATGCATCCAAAAGACTGGCTTTAAGTTGCAAGTAGTCTCTAATTAACAGATATATATAGCAAAATAACTAACATCTATATAGAGCAATATTCATGTGGGAGCATTCTAAAATAAATGAGTTCCTCAGATCCAAGTCAGAAATAAAGCTTCCTCAGATTCACAGCTTGAAACAGTTAAAATGCAAAAGTATAGTGTTGCAAATGCAGACTTCTTATTTTGAAACAAAATTGGACATGAAGGTTAGGACACTGCTATTCTTTTGATATAACTTTAGAATACCTTTCAGGTCATAAAAGATAATAAGGAAAAACAAAAAAAACATAGCTTATGCAAAGGGCCCATGTATTTGGGTGAACAGATGTGGGAATGACACTTCAGGGAATTCATGACTGACTTTCATATCCCACTAGAACAATATCTACATGCACGCTTTTTTTATGGAAGGATGCTGGAATTATAAAGTACAGGTCAACAATTAGAAGTCAAGCAGATTTCAGAATCCAACTGAAGTGACAACAAATCAACCTGTATTTTGACTGACAAAGGGTATAAAAACTACCTGGAGAAACCAGACAATGTATTCCTCACAACCAAAGAGTCAGAGACAAAAGACATTTCAGAAGAAATCAATCTCTCTCCAAAAATGTAATAATGGTCTGGGGATTTTGCCTACGAAAATTAACAGAATCTAACACTGGATGTATTACGTATGGCATTTCTTTTCATTTTCTCCTATGTGTCCTTAATAACTTCATTTAATGAGAATGTCTCAGACTGTTCTGAGAAATTCAAGGTAGTACGTTTTGATGGCAAAATAATTCTAAGGCTTTGGCACGTGGCAACTGGCTATGCTAGAACTCTTATTTGAGGCAATATGCTAAAAAAAACTATTCAGGATATTAGCTGAATTAAGGATATTGGAAGAGATGCATGTTGCAGCAACAGAAAGTTTAACTCTTGTGACAGATAAACTTTAATTTGGTAATATATGTCTTAGACTGTGTTATCATCATTGCTACAGTGTTCCCAGTGTGTCATCAGTGTGTCATCAGTATCTGCAGGATTAGAATCTATTTCTAATTAACTATATCTTAGTTTTGTAACATTATTTAAACACTAATTTCCATATGTATTTTTAATGATTCCACTGATAGGAGATAATGAAATGAGAATAACCTTGAAAAGATTTTTTCCCTTTCCATTTAGGGTACTTCATATGCCACTAACTTTTCTATCACTTGGGTAATGTTATGACTATTTATAGTATCACATTTATATTTTATTTTGATTAGATATGCACCTTGTAAGTTTGGAAAAAAATCATTTTTCAACACTGATAAATTCTACTTTTAAAATTTGTGTTCTCTGACTGAAGCTTTCATGTGCAACTTCACACATGTGGGACACTTCAAAAGTACAACTTACAACTCTTTTTTGATCTCAGCATTTGAGCTTGCTGAGAATTCTGCTTGAACAAAGATTGCAGGTCATTGCTGAATTGGATGTTTTTAGAAAAACCTGTCTAGCAGTATGAAAAATAATACTTACGCTTGAGTTAAAAAAACCTTAATGACCTTCCCCTATAAGATAGTAGTGTATCGAAAATATTTTTGGCATACTGAATAGGCTTTTTAATATAGAAATTGAAATATATATTTAAAAAATCCAAGAGTTTTGATGGTTTTTTTTGATTTTCATAAATGCTAACATAGGAGAGCAAGAGGAATAAACATTCAAGCTACAATTTGCAATAACTCTTTTTAGTATATGGACTGTCAATAGACAGAAATACTGACCAATCTAAGGCTTCAATTTATGAGAGCTTCTTAATTACCCACAATGAGGACAGCTCTTACAGAAATCAGCAAATGGTTAAGAACTGACCTGAACAATGATATTTTGTCTTCACGATTCCAAACTTGAAAAGGTAAGTTTACCTCTCTTCTCAGTGCCATTGAATTAAACTACTAATGGAAGGTTCCCCTTTCAGAGAATAGTCTCTAAGATGTTCATAGAAGATCTCAGAAATCATTACAAGTTAGATGGACTCTTGAACAGAACTTCTCAGTTTCTTTTGCAAGGATGACGAGGTGTAAAAAGATTCTTAAAAGTGAAATTAAGTTTAGTATCTTACTTTTTGATCAGCAGCACCCAGCCATTTTAGCCATATTAAGATCTACATGAATGAACTACATCCTGAGCTTTATTCCACCTATAATGTAGATTAAAAGACAACAGCACTTTAAGCAGATATTTGTTTTGTTTGTTTGGTTTTTTTTACCTCCAAAGAAATATTTCTCTCCAGTCTTAACTTGCAGAGGGCTGTTTGTTCGAACAGCTGAAGCTTCATCGCCATCAATGGTGAGGACCGCAAAATTTTCCTTAGCTAGAAATCGGACTTCATGCCACTGCCCATCATTGAGACCAGAGCCTATGAAGAACAAAAGACATTGGAACATTTTACTTAGTCCAATACTCATTATCTTTAAGTGTTTTGTGTGTCTCTCTCCCAGGCTCATTATGTAACGTTTCATGAAAGCTATTGCAGAAATAAAATCATTTTAGTGTGATAACAAGGCATTGTTATTAAAGTAGCTATTACCAAAAACATAACATTATATCATAAATACAAGTCTTGGAACTACTGAAGTGTTCATGCTGTGAGATATAGCTGTATAAATTACCGATGTTATCACTCACCTTTCCCATCAAAAGGCCATATTCTACATTATACTAATAAAGAATACCTCTTAATTGTTTCTATGATCAAGTTCGAAAGGAAAAGATATTGATTAATCCATTAACTACAGTGAGTAACAAGCCCAAAAGGCGTATTATGTTTGTGATTGCTGCCTTTATCAAAAGCTAGATATTTCCAAGAAAAGAGAAAGAAAAAATATGAGGGGGAAAGGCTCACGTGGAAGGTGAGTGCACAGCTAATCCTCTCATTGGGATGTGGGGCTAGTCACAGATGATGAAGACATTATCACAAAGGCACTGCAAAACCAGCAAATGTCTGCCAAAACCTGCAATCTTAGAGAAGCACCATCCTCCCAATACTGACAACAGTTGAAGCAGATGGATCTGTTCATTCATACAGATCTTTAAAAAAACAGAATTTATACCCTTCTTACATTGTCTCCAGCAGCTGGCAGGAAGCCAGTGTGCCTGGCATGTTAACCTGCCAGTGAGGAACTGCGAAAGAGTAGTAGTTTATTCTGGTCGTTACCGTGCAGGCAGGTTATGTTGGGTCAGCAAGTTAAGTAGCAAACACTCTAGTAAAAGCAAATTCCAAATTACAGCACCTCTTGCAAGTGACGTTTTCTCCACCTAGATAAAGGTGCTAGGTCACCTTAGCAAAACGGCTGCTGCCAAAGTAAGCTACAACGCAATGCAATAAGCTGTTTCTAAAAATTAAGTGGGATGCTCAATATCAGCAGAAGTATAATGGAAGATAAACTTTCAAAATATTTGAAAGAATGTTATCTTCTATGAACAAGGAATAATATTCACGGCAGACAGATATACCTAAACATTTAATGAATATTTTTTTCCCACTGCTTCCACATGTTTGTTTAAGATACAAGATCAAGTCTTGAAATAACGAGGAGCGTTATACCTTGGAATATTCTTGGAATGTTCGTTAGTGTGACTAAAAGTGGCAGAAGCCTCTTAAAAAATGTATCAGTAGGAAATGTTTCTATCCAAGCTTGTTCAACCTAGTGTAAGAACAGATGGAAGACCTAACATACTAAACTCAAGAAAAGTTTTCTTTATGTTTGTAAGCTCTTTTTTCATTTTCATGACATCTGACAAAGAAACAGAAAAAAACATAATTGTAACCCAGACAAAATTAATTTCTATGATAATAAACTCAAAAAGGAAAAGAAAATACACCTTTTTATAGAGTTCCAAACCAAAATTGTTACAGCATGTGTTACTACAACTGAAGTTTATCAGAACATACTTAAAATCCCGATTTTCCAGCTTGAGACAACCTAACATTAAAAAATCTATTTCATTTTTTTTATCGAGGTATGCAGTATTGCCTTGAACTGAGTAACGACGATTACAGACTTCTGGACAAAATTAAAACTTGGCATTAAAACACGACGGACGAAAACGGTGGCATGAGCTGTTTGTCAGTGAGTCCAGAGGGAGGTACCTCTAAAGCACTTTCTGGAAAGGGGGATATTGCTGAAACCAAAAAACAACAGGACATTAGGCAAGAAAGTGTCAGCCTACCTTGCACCACCATTTGTATTGTATCAAAAGATAAGCTTTTGCACCTTGACGAACTGCGACTAGGGAAATTATGTTACACCTCCAGGAGGTTCTTCCAAACATGTCCACCTCCCACGAGCATCGAACTGTCACCGCTTTTCTCTTGCTCCTGGACTGAATTTGCAGTGGCGTCTGATGTATTTATATGGCAAATGTCTCTCTCTTTAAGCTTTCACAGTAGGAACTTTCAAGGCCACTGCTACTCGTGCTTTGATACATTTTTTTGAGAACATTCACCAAACAGACAAAACCTTCTAGCCAATTTAAACAGAATTAGATATAAACAAACGCAGAAAACTACCTGGTGCAGCTGCCCCGATGCCAGCATGGGGATCTGCCGCCTCCGCGGTCTCCGTGAGGGGAGGCCAGGGCTGCCCCGCGCCGGACACAGCCGGTTCCAGCCGGTTCCAGCCGGCTCCAGCGGCCCCACCGCAGGGCACAGCCG